TAGGGGGCGGGGCCTCGGCGATGGGCTCCCGGAGGCGCGCGGGTTCGGGTTCCTGCAGCTGCAGGTGCGCGCGTGGGGCCCGAGTTCTCCGTTTCCGCTCTGCTGTTCGACTGGTGGCTTCTCGAGTTCTGTCGCGTCAACACTTTTCAGTGAAATATTTATTTTTAATATGTTTTATTTATTTTCTTACAAAAAGGGAGAGGGAGAGGGATAGACAGAACCATAGATGAGAAACATCCATCAGCCGCCTCCTGCACATCTCCTACTGGGGATGTGCCCGAAACCCAGGTACATGCCCTTGACCGGAATCGAACCCGGGACCCTTCAGCCCACAGGCCGGCGCTCTATCCACTGAGCCACATCGGTCAGGGCAGAGCTGTGTTTTAAAAGCTGCAAGTCATGCCCGGTGTGGCCCAGCGGTTGAGCCCTGACCTCTGAACCAGGAGGTCAGGGCACATGCCTGCGTTTGGGGCTCGATCTCCGGTGGGGGGCGTGCAGGAGGCAGCCCATCCGCGCTTCTCTCTCCTCATTGATGTTTCTCCCTCTCTCTCCCTTCCTCTCTGAATTTCCAAACTAAGCAAATTGTTTTGGGTATCAAGTGAGATTTTGTCAGCCCAAAATTTAATCGTCTCCCAAAAAAGAAATGTTAGATTAAGAAAAATAGATGTAAGAGTGGGTAACATGCATAGTTAAGGTATATCATCTTGTATTTTAAAAAAACACAAAACACCCTATTTCACATCTGCATACCAGTATGTGAAAAAATGTTATAGGACCCCCCCAAAAGCAGTGAGCACACATTCATATTGTTAATTTTTTTACCATGTGCCCCTGTATGTGTATATTATTTATAAGTCATGTGTGTGCTACTCTGCTAATACGTTTGAAGGTATAATAAAGCAAATACAGAAATAGGATTTTAAGAGGATGAGATTGAAGAATATATACTCAGAGGGTCTAATATTTTCTTCCCATACAGCAGATGGTTTTGCTCACCAGCTGGGGTACACAGCCCCACTTTGGAGACCCCGGTACCTCCTAAGGTTGTCTTGGTTATAAACACTTGGGAGCCACATCGGTGACCGTACAGACTGAGCCGCACACGGCGAACCCAGTGGCACCAAACACTGGTGATGAGGCCGGGGCGAAGGGTGAACCCCGTTTTACACACAGAGAGGGAACCCGAGCCCCAGGGCAGCGGGGACGTCTGCAGGGTCACTCGGCCAGCAGGGAGCGGAGTCTGGGGCGGGGGTGTCGCGGTTCCATCCCAGTCAGGGCACAGGCCCCGGTTGTGGGCTCCATCCTGGACGTGGGGCGTGCAGCGGACAGCGGATCCCACCAGCCTGGGGCCTGACCGCGGGTGGCCACTGGGTGGCAGTGCCTGCCTGCCTGGCACTTGCTGAGGGGGATGAAGCGGCTGGCACCTGCTTGCCCGCCCTCTGCAGCTACCCCAGCCCCACAGGCAGTGGGCCCCCCAAACAAGGGCCTCAGTTTCCTCCTGCAGAAACTGGAGACCAAAACACCCCTAAAATGGAGAACTTCACCCCTAGAAAATGGTTAGGAGCAACCTTCCCCGGATGGCTCAGGGGTTGAGCGTCAACCTATGAACCAGGAGGTCACGGTCGGATTCCCATTCAGGGCACATGCCTGGGTGGCGGGCTCGATCCCCGGTGTGGGGCGTGCAGGAGGCAGCCGGTCCATGATTCTCTCCCATCACTGATGTTTCTGTCTCTCTCTCTCCCTCTCCCTTCCTCTCTGAAATCAATACTAAAAGATATTTTTTGAAAAGAAAGAAAATGGGCAGGAGCTACCCTGCACTGGTAGACTGAGTCACAAGCCCAGGGCAGCCAAGGTGAGGCTGGAGGGAACAGGGGGCGGAGCAGGATCAGGCCCAGCAGTGCATGACTCCCGGCCCCTCTGGCATCACTTACCTGCTGACTTAGGAAGCAGCAAAGTCAGGCAGGGGAGCCACGGAAGCCGGGTGGGCTGCCAGGAGGCGGAGGCGGAGGAGGCTGTGGGCCCTGGACGGAGGCAGAATCGGGTGAGCGGGTGGGCAAGCTGTGAGCCAGCGCCTAGGCTGCGGAGAACAGGACAGGAGAGGCCGTGGTGAGGGGGTGAGGAGGGTGCAGGGGCCCACTGGGTGATGGGGGTCCC